CCCCCCCCCCCTCAGTTCACGCATCTCGTCCATTTTTAACGAAAATTCCATTCGTTCGTTCATCTGGAGAACAACAGCTGAAGGAAATAAAAATGAAACTCAAGGGATTGCCTCACACGTCCATCAGCTGAAAAATCCTTGAAGCTACTACGTATGTATCTCTCGAATAAGATCCTTCGCGTGTTCTTGCGTATCGAGACGCAGCATGATTTCTCTCACACGTAAAAATACAAAAAAAAAAACGATCGGTCGGGTTACGTCATTGGAAATTTCGCGCGTGTTTTCGCGTTCGATGATCACTCTGCTGTGCAAATAGCGGCACTAGACGAAGAAGAAATTATCGAGTAGAAAGAAATCATTCATCGATCGATCGGTAAATCGAGTGAACAAAAACGGCAAATCGAGCAACGATAAAATTCTGCACGCGCCAACAGAAACGCTGATAACCTCGAGTAAGTTGTGGTTTAAACATTGACCCAAGCTTAATAACATTCTATCGATTGTACATGGTGTAGCAATATCGACTATAAGTCAAGTACCATTTTCTTCGCCTGGTTTTTACCAACCAGGCTCCTCCGATAGTACGATTCGCGGAAACGCGGCTCTCTCGAAGGATCTTATCGTTTACGTAGCTACAAGGACAGCTTCTCGCAATTCTCACGAGTTGAAGACTCGTTTGACCGGCTGCCATTATGATATATACATAATACGCACAGGATTATCCTTCGTTGATCAATGGTACCGAGATCAACGATACCGAGGAAACGATTAATCGCGTTTGATCGTTTGGAATTTTGCTGATGGGTATTCCCAACGTCTCGCGATTGAAAAACCTTCTTTTTCTCTACCAGGGCCTGTGTACGAAAGCTGCACTATATATATAAAAAACGACAGAGATAAAAGGAGAAATGTACAGGGTGGAAAGAAAAGTTTGTCCTTGGCTATCATAAATGCATGTTTCAAGGTCGAGTCAAAATTTCAAAAATTTGTATTCTACTCTCGTCACGAAGATAAAACTTTCCCAAGTTTGAACTGATAGTTCCGTTGGATAAAAAGTTTTCTTAATCATTTAACACTGCGTCCTAACAGCGACCTTATGCTTCTGGATTAGATTTCACCAACCATTTGATTTATCATAGTCGTAGCATCAGTGTGAATAATCGAATGATACGAAGAATTGTTAACGTTAACTCGAAATACGAACGTTCAGAAGCATAAGGTCGCTGTTAGAACGCACGCACTCAGTGTGTAAATGATTAAGAAATTTCTTACCATTTCTCAGGCTCCTTGAAAAAGTTCCACCTTCGCGTAAAGTAGGATATAATGCAAGAAAAAAAATTTCTTGACCTTGAAATTCTTTACAGATTTCCATCAAA